AGTCTACTTCATATTACCCGTAGTTAAATCAATATATTATATTGTTATTTTATTTAACCTATACCTTCCCCCTTCCTTCAGCACAAACGGGGTACTCCATCACCCCTGCCGATCCACAAGGAGTCCTCTAAACGTCGATGGTTGAGAAGCACTGCTCTATCATATAAAACAATGCGACACATCACAATGACGGTCATAACGCGGACCGTTCTCCCCCGTTACAGTGATTCGACGTAATGTTTTTTGCTGTGGCAACCCACCGGCTGAGTGAGAGGAAGCGTCGTCGTCTGTAGCTGGCGCGCCAGCAAGGTCTCGTGCTGTTTACTCTTTCCAGCGTCGATTAGGCAGCCGCGACAAGATTGACAGTGCTCCCGCACCTCTCTTTCCATGTCAAGCCAGTAAAAACTGTACTTTATTCTATCCCGCGTTTTCTTCAGGCCCAGGTGGCCTCCCCGGAGGAACTCATGCGCGAGCAGCAGCACCTCGCCTCTTCTCGATCTTGGAAGCACCAGTTGCTTTACCCTCGTTCCGGCAATTAAACCCCAATGAAACAGCATGCCATTTTTGTAAACATGCCACCTTTTCCCACGCGGGCATCGCGCCGTGACCTTCCCAGAATGGGGTCGCACGCCTTCTGCCGGGCTGTCGATCGCCTTCTCCTTTCTGCTCGGTTTCCCCATTCTCTGTGTAGGCCACGCCAGTTTCTTCGGCACGCATGCCCGTCACGAAGGCGACGTCTTGTGTGATATGCCGCCCCTCTTGCGGTGGCTCGTGCTGGGATACAGCCGCACTTCCCACAGGTGGGCACGCGGTCACGGCTTTAATCCCTGATAATAGTTCCCAGTCTTTCATCGAAAGGAGGCAGTTTACCGGGGGTGCCAGCTGATCAGTGACGGCACAAAGCAGGCTCGCCGGGCTGTTCCAGCTAACCTCCCCCTCTAATCGCAGGCATACCGGGAGTCGGACCACCTTCGCGATCTGCTCCTGGCCGAAAGCCGAAACAAGTTTTGTGGTGCCGCTAGGTTCCTACCATTTAGTGGGAACGACACTCGTGCGCATAAACCTCACCTTCCTGCCGGGGTCCAAAACGGCGCCCACGGTGGCCCCGCCGCAGTCGAGCGTGACCTTGAGACACCTGAACCGCTTGGGAACCTCTAATGGAGCGGTGCCTATCCTCGCAACTAGAAGATGTGGCTCCTCCCTCGTCTCCTCAGCGTGCCCAGCTCGAATGTTTTGAACATGCAATTTCTTTTCTTGACATCCTTTTGGATTCTTTGGGGACAGTTTTGGGCCACATGGGACCCGTTAATATACACGTAACAACCGGGCGGTCACTTCGGCCTCGAGGGGCTGCTGGAAGTTTTTTTCCCTTTCTGGGCGTCCGCGTCTCCCTTTCCTGTGGATTTCGCTTTCTCCTCAGCCACCTCAAAGGTGTCGATAATATTCTACATCTCGTGAGCCCTTAGCCACCCCTCTTCTCCCAGCGTTACGTGCCTTTCGGCCTAAGGGCTCAGACACTACTTGAAGCGGTTAACCGCCATTAGCTCGATTAGCACCTCCAGAGTTTTGGTCTCGTGGTAATTGGCATAACAGCTAAAGTGGCTCGTCAACCGCGAGGCGAACTGAGCCCAACCCTCGTCTTTACGCTTAATTGCCTCCATGAAACGAGCGCGGTGCTCCTCTAGCGTCACTTTGAGCTCCTCTAGCACGGCTGTTTTTACCGCGCTGTACTTAGACAGCTCCTCCGTAGTTAACAGGGAGAAAAAGTGTACCGCCTTACTTAAGAGAGCGAGCATGATCAGAAGCACTTTGCTCCTCTCCGGCAAGCCGTAAGTCGCAAAAATCTTCTCTACCCGGTCAAACCATTCAGGCAGCTCGGCGTCTTCGGGTACTTATTGACTTCTCAGTAGTTTTGCGCACTGAGATACGGGATCTGGGCCGATGGCTCCCCCGACGCAGTCGCGCCTTCTGGCCTTTCGCAGCAAGCCCTAAGCTCGAGCTTTCGCATTGCATTTTTTTTCTTCCGACTCCAGCCCTCTGTCTGGAGTCGGAAGAAAAAAAAATGCATCTCGAGCTGCATCTCGAACTGCATCTCGAACTCGAACTCGAGGCGTCTTAACGCAACGACCTCGGTCTCGGCGTGGGTATCAGCAACCGTGGACGTTTGCCCCACCGCGCTCGACCCCTCCGAGTACCCATTCATATTTGACTCTGCTTTCTGGGCGCTTCGAATCACCACAACCATTCGCTGTAACTTTTGAGACCAAACTAACACGCTCACCGCAGAGCGTGGTGCGTCCACTGGCCCAAAGTGTTGAAGCTTGTTGTGCACTGCCGGCAGCCAGTCCTTCCCTCTCTTACCGTGGAGGCGCACAGATGCCTGAAGCTGAGCACACTCCGACACTTGAGGCTTGGTCGGTTTCAGCCGACCGCAAGAACCCTGTTGTCGCTCAGTCGTCTTCCGCACTGCAGCTCCGGCTCTTGTGCAGTTCCTTGTCCTTAGCGTCCCCCGATGCTTCCCGCTCCATCGATTTCTTTTGAAAGGCGGAACCTTGCTGCCGTCCAATCGCCCTCTCCACCTCTGCCGGGCAGGGTCAAGGGATCGCTGACGTCCTGCTGGCTCCTCTCACTCCCGTTCTGCTGATCCAGTCAACTGAAAGGATGGTGCAGCTGTTCGGTTGTCTTCCCCACCCTGTCCCCGGCTCTGATGCTGGCGACTTTTCGGCATCTCCTCTCGTTCACTTGGCTTGTGCCAACCGGGATGACGTAGTTGAGGTTCCGTACTCGTCCCCGTCCAGGCGTCTCTTTCGTCTGGTCGTCCCCGCACAGTCACCGAAGGAATGTCCAACACAATCCTGTCGGCTGCTCTAATAAGGTTCTTACTATAGGTTTATGTTTATGTTTATTCTTATTTTCAGTGACCCACCAACGGCTTGACGATTCTTTAGTGGTGCACTTACTCCTTCAGAAATGTAACGCTAAACAGGATAAAAGCGAAACGTTAGGAAAAAACAATAGCCTCAACACACTGTCGAAATTTACGCTTTTCATCAAATATATCAAGGCTAGCATTCGCACAAACGTTGTTTCATTAATTGGAGCAACAGTAAAAAATCCAGGCAGTTTATATTAGAGCTAGGCATTAGGCCATTATTTGTACTGAAAGAAGCAAAGTTGTAAACGGTGGTTCCTCCTCGATGGTGTGGAGGAGAATGGCTTGCGTTGGACGGTGGCGGTGGTGTATCGGGCCAGGCAACTGTTTACGCAGGTACTTCTTCGCAACTTTTTAATAAAAGACAATTTAGCATACGAGTTACAGGAATACGAACATCGAAAACCGCCGCCGTTAGAGAGCGGCTCCTTTCTCTCTCGCGGTACAAAACCAAAGACCACTCTTTTTGTCTCGCCTGTGCTCTCATTGACAGCAGCCGGTCCCTGTTTCCCATTTTCTCGTGGGGGTCAGCGTTTTCATCCGGTGCTCCGAGCCTAGGGCGAGACGGCGCCGGGCGTAGGAGTCGCAGACGAGTCTGGCCTTTAGAACAACAAATCACCCCTGGTCCTCCGAACACCGGCCGGAGGGACAGGTGCGGACAGACGAAGCACAGCGCCTAAGACACTTCCAGGAGAACGATCCACACTTCTCAATGGGAAGTGACAAACAAAACTCGAAGCATACACACCCAAGTTGTAGCACTGGTCGACTACCAGTGAAAAAGCACTTGAACAGAGAGTCTTCCCAGCGGCGGGCAGCTGAGCAAGGCGCGAAACGCGACCCGGCCCGCCGCACCTGGGGCTGTTCCCGAGTAACGAAAGATGCGCACCGCAGGGCGGCTCCCTGCCCCGCATACAAAATTTTCCCGTTCAGGGGTCATAAAAATTCAAGAGCGAACCCGCACACGTATTTCCAAAAACTATTCGCGCAGGGCCTTAAGACGTGCAAAACGTAAGACAATAAAAAGTGTTCCGGAACCTTACAATGGTAGTTCCGTAGGAGCTTGAAGACTTGTAGTAGCCGACCAACCAGAGCAAAGCACGAACTGTGCTTTAGCGTACTGATAGTGACCACGGCGCGAGGCCAGCGATGACGACATGACGCAGCACCCCAAGAGAACGAGCCGACGTGTTGAAGTGAGCACTTGGCGACAAATCTTTCTTGGCGGATAATTCCCCCTTGGCGTGGCTATCGGTTCAAGTAGTCGCTTTGCACGCGACATACGACACGCGAATGTCCCTGTGACTCCTCACCTTGTAAGAAATTGTAAAGAAACGCCCCTGTGTGACTGTTTTGTTGTTTGGATATTTTCGAAATGGAGCATAATGATGAGAACATGCACCTGTGTATGCCTGGTGTCCTAATGGTTTTATCTGGAACCAATGAATAAGTTACACTTAGAGTATCGGCACTTGAACCCCCGACTTTCTTCTGGACGCCGCCATTTTGTTGCCCAGTGCAGAGCGGGAGCGACTAACGAGAGTTAAGACTCGAAAAGGCGACTCTCTGGCTTTTGGATACGATGTCAGGGACCTCAGACAACATAGTTCTTACTCTGTCGCGGACCCTTCTGAAACTTCTTAGGAAATAAAACCCGTTTACTTTGATTTTAGAAAAAGGATCAGATAACTCGCAACAATGATTTTAAGTACCACGATGACCGAACTGTCGTTGCTCTGAAGCGGGGCTTAATTAGTGGTTCTAGTTTTATCTTCGTTGCTCGGTGCGAGCGCACCTCGGTATCTGTATTTGAGCTGTTTTAAGCTGTTTTGGGCTTTTCCCCCCGCTCGAAATAGGGCGTCCGTCGTCGATGTCGTGAGGTGACACTGTAACGTTAGAGTCAAGTGTCGTCGTGACTTCCTGTGACGTCACCGTGTAACAGGGCGTCGCACTGTCTCGTGACGTCGTGACGTCACGTGACACACGTCACGTGACAGATGTATTTTGCGTGTTTTTTTTTTTTTTTTTGACTGATTCGATTCAATGCTATTTCATTTGAATTGCACAGGAGAGCGCTCGGACGAGAAGCCCCACAAGCGGAACACGGTGCGCATGGCGTTACGCTGCGTGCAGTACGCGGACTTCCCCGTCGACGGCCTGTCGCCAACGCCGCCGACGGCGAGCGTCCGAAAGACGTTCTTTTTCTGCCCGGGACGCTTAGACCTGGAGGCAGCGCTCGACAAGGAGACCTATAACCAGGGCGACGTGAGTACACGCAGGATTCGGTGGCTTCAACCACTGGAGGAAAGCTCGTCTACCATATATGGTTCAATCGCGACATCATCGCATCGGACAGAAATAGGCTATGTTTGCTGCTTTATTTGTGCATTTGCCGTTACACTGATTTTGAATTTAGGGACGGCCGGAAAAAGACTATTGGGTATGAGATACCGTAAACGCCACAGGGACTACAAAAGACAACAGTAAAAAGTAATACTCAGTTCCCTCCATTGACCCAAATAATTGCTGCGAAAACATCCACATATCCCGCTCTGTAGCGTTGAAGCACTAGTGCCCAAATTTAAAGGGGTGTCAAGGAGGCTAACGTCCTTCATCCCCGCGCACTTGTCATGGCCATTTTAAACCCTTATCTCTTTCCATCTCCTTGCAAGGTACACGCGAGCTTTGACTAGTGAATCGATGCTTTTTTACAACCCAATTTGTATTTGTATTTATTCAGGCGCCAGCTGACGGAACTTAACTAACAACTAATGTCTTTACCGCGAGACAAGCAGCCAAACCGATAGCATAAAGACCGCGTTCCAGCACTGACCATTACGGTACTTATGTGTGCAGATGGTGCGCATACACGTGACGCTGAGCAACGGCTCCTCCAAGACGGTCCAGAGACTCAAGGTGGCCGTCCTGCAGCACGTCCACGTCTGCATGTTCACTCACGGCCGCTTCAAGAACCTCATCGGAAGCAGCGACACGGGCCCTAGCAGGCCCGTGCCGCCGGGCTCCACGGTGTCCAGGGACTTTGACATCAAGCTCCAGAGCTGCGAGAAGTTTCCCGTGGCGCTGGCCATCGAGAGCGAGTTCCACGAGGAGGACTCGGCCGTGTACAGCCTGTCCTCCACCACTGTACTCGTCAACCCTAAGGAGAAGAATCCGTATGGCGTCAACGTCAGCTACGAAGTGAAGGTCAAGGCCATCCTGGGATGCATCGACCGGCCGCTCGTGGTCCGGCTCCCGTTCCGGGTGATGCTGCCACGACCTCCCGAAGGAGTGCGGCGGCCCACGTTGCCCAGCTCCAAGACGTCCCTTAAGGTAGAAGACTCGCTAGACCCCATCACGGACTGTGTATCTGAGGACATCGCCAGGCTGGGCGTCAGTTCGTCGCCTCACGAGGTCGACGAAGTCAGTTAACTCCGGGGGGATCTCAGTGCTTCACGCCGAGGCAGATGGACGACATCATCATAACCACAGTGGCGCAGGTTGCATTCACAACTTATATTTCATGAAATGTTGCTAAAGGTTGAGGAGTAATAGTGAGGACCAAAAGGACTGGTATCCAACGACAAAAAAAACAACAAGAAATGTGTATCTAAAAATATTTATAAATTTTTATCTGCGAGCTTGATATATGGCGGCGTATACCGAGAGTTAATGCGAAAAAAAAATGATACCATAAGACAGGTCCTGAATCAGTGAGAATTCATATACAATGATATATTAATTGTTTGTTATTCTGGTTAGTACTATCGAAAGTTTAACTACAGAGTAAGCCACTGGAACAGGAGATTTGGGTCTTGCGGCCGTCGAAAATCGGAAGGTCTTCAGACTCTTCTATTCCTTCAGTATGCCGACCGGTTAAATGTACTTGCGCATTACAGCAACACTTGTATGAAGAATATAACCTGTGGTAAAGTGTGAACACGTGGATGGAAAAGTGTGCGCGTGAGAGTGCCTGTGTACTTGGGTGCGTGGTTCTTGAGTGAGTATATACGTGCGCATGAATATATCTTCAATACGCCGCAATTATCTTTTATACTGTACAAAGAAGTCGGCACTGCTGTGTCTAAAAGATATATGTATAGTTGTTGCGATTGTCGATGTGTCTTCAATTATTGCTGCTTTAATTTCAGCGTCAGCAGAGGTTCTGGTCTTTTGTTTTTAGGAGATCCGAGATGTGTGTGTGTGCGATGGCAAATCAAACATCTAGTGTGTCTTGCATTAGAGATGTTCAAGATCAGGGCAGTAAAACGCCATAATCCAACAGCGTGTCTTTTTTTGTTCAAACATTCCCAAATTACAAAATGCTCAGCATTTAATTAACGTAACTTATCAGTGCTCTCGTTAAAAAAAAAAAAAAAAGACTGCAACTTATTTAGGACGTACACTTGCGGCAGAGATATGTTACAAAGAGCATAAAAAGGCTTTGATCAAAAAAGTGGTTCCCTGCATCAAAAATTAAAATAAAAAAATATATTAGGAGAACTACCGGGTGATTCAAGGAGAGGCCAGGCTCTTTAAATCGACCGGAAAATTCGGTTTCTTAACCTATCGCGCTACGACTTTGTGCAGCGTTGCCCACAGATGGTGAATTCTTTTTTTTTTTTTTTGTAAAATTTGCAAAGAGCGAATTTACCTGAGGAAAAAGTAATAAAAAAAAAAGGCTTAGCTCCTATGGAAACTCAGCGACGCCATCGGTCTTCAAACAACACGGCGCCGTTTCGCACGGCAGGGGCGCAACGAACGCCGCCAACGAACGAGCATACGGCGCCGAGAGCCGGCGTCTTAGCATACGATCTTTTCGACTCAAAAGCGGCGCGCGTTCCGCAGGTGGCGAGAGTCGCAGAAACAAAAACAGGCGCGGTAACAACAAGGAACTGCAGGTCCTTGTCTGCTAAAGAAGCCGGCTCTCGGCGTCGTATGCTCGTTTGTTGGCGGCAGTTGGCGTCGCGACCGCTTGCGCCATCTCTTGACTCCCGTGCGAAACGGCGCCGTGTTGTTTGAAGACCGGTGGCTTCGCTGCATTTCCATAGGAGCTAACCCTTTTTCTTTCTCTACTTTTTTTTTTAAGTAAGTTCGCCCTTTGCAAAATTTAAAAAAAAAAAAAAAAATACACCATCTGTGGGCAACGCTGCACAAAGTCGTAGCGCGATAGGTTACGAAAGCGAATTTTGCGGTCGATTTAAAGAGCCTGGCCTCTCCTTGAATCACCCTGTAATATTGCTCCAGCACTCCTTCAAGTATTCTGACGCACTGCTGCAATTGAAAATTCGCCTGGTCAAATTTATGGCCATGAAAATGATCAGCAAGACATTTTTTTCGCAGCGCGCTTGAGGTGCCAAAACTATGCACCACTCAGGTTCTGTCACCTCGTTCAACTATGTCACTAATTAAAAACAATAATCTGTACTCTTAAAAAGGTATAAAATCCTTGCTATATAAAAACAGTAATCTGTACCCTAATTATTGAACGGTAAAATATTAAATATGTAAAACCAGTAATCTGCACTCCTAATTATAGAGGAGTGAAATATTAATTATGAGGAAACACAATTGAGCGCTTTACAGGGTCTTCAGAAACAGAAATTACAATTGCGTTCACCAACGCTGAACCTTTTTTTTGTTTTTTACATTTGTGGTAATACGTATTTTCGCGGACAATATGCGCTGAAATACCCGATCCGGCCCTTTTGTGTGTCCGCAGTTCCCACAAGCTTTATTATCGATCTTTCTCAAATAGTCTGAAGAATAGGACCTGAACTTCGCATTTCACTCCTAGTTCGGACCACAAGCTCGGAACAAAATAGCAGGTACGCCAGAGAAGCATAAGGGACTGCTTCAGATCATATTATACGTGATAGCACATATAGGAATAATGCCTACCTCCTTCAGTTTATCTTTCCGAACAGACAATCAAGTAACAATTCGTCTGTGGTTGTAAGCTGACTTATTCGCAGTAAACACGTAACCGAAACACACAAGATCAATTTCGAATTCTTCGTAATCTAGTGTTCAAATTTGACTAGAAATGGGGACATTTTCTTCACGTCTGAAATCAGCCATCACTACTTAAGCGCGACCCAGTTCTAGAAAGAGACCCTGGAACACAGCACCATAAGTGCATTTATCAAACGAATTCTTTCTCCGCTTGCTCGCAGCAGCGCGCTCGCAGAGTGGAGCACACTCAAATGAGAATAGCAGTGCCGTGGAATTGTCAGCAATGCTGTTCTAAGATTCTGAGAATTCTGCAAAAAAGAATATCCCTACCATCATAGCACAGCAGATTTCACCTCGATGGGCAGAGAGCAAGACCCTACAAAAGCGCAACGCTAGAAAATTCACATCAACACCAGCAAATATATTGAATCGTGTCGTAGTGAGGCGGAGGCACGTTCGAGGAAATGGCGCCTCAAACCTGTCTCCCACAACTGGTGTGCTTACAAGGTCTTCGTTTGTCCGGTCAGGTGAAGTCACAATTGTACGCTGTCAGATTCTCTCGGCAATTCTCAGAAACGCTAGTGCCTTCGGTGGCGGCGGTGGTGAAGGCAACAGACGCCTGTTCAGCTGTATTCCGTTGTGTGACGATCAGCTTACGGAAAGTCGCGTGAACTTGAGTTCGGATGCCGCGACGCCAGTGACGTCGGCGTCTGTTTGTCTGATTCGACGTCGCTTTCGCATCCGACCACCCAAATTGCGATGACCCGAGCAAAAGAAACGGCACTGAGGTGTCCTTTAACGGAGACACCAACACAGGAACGCTGCTCACACCGGCCGGAGACACGTTCCAGGCCCTTATAAAGAGCGAATTAATTCATGTGCCGCCAGTGGCCTCGCAAAGTATAAGCGTGCTGCCACCGAGGTACGCTGGCGATCACTTGTGCCATCCACGGTGGAAGTCGAGCAGCACGGGGGGCCAACGGCACAACTCTCCATAGCATGGGGTGATTTTACGAGTAGCCGGACGAAATCTAGTTGGTGCTGAGATTATCAACAGATGGTGGCCACAAATCAAAACAATTTAGGCCTTTGCTCTCTCGAACAAGTGAGGCTGCTTTATGTTCTGTTGACAAATAAATGGCACGAGCGTTGTGAACATCACTGACTTCCCGGGTTCTTGTATGTTGTCGCGAATGATTCGAACATAAAGAATATTGTGTCCTCGCGATGTGATCCATAGCAACGTGCCGCTTTGTTCTGACGAAGTGCGCATGGAAGAGTGACAAAGCGTATATATGCCATAAAGCGACAGCAAACAGGCTGTGGTTTTTTGTGGGTTTCATGCTACCGCCTTTGCCATAGGCGATTGTAAGAGGGACTTGTTTAAGGAATAAACACTGTCAAGGCGTGGAGCCTCCAGGGGACGATACGTGAAAATGTAAACGCGACTTCATGTAAACTGTTACGTGGTTGCTTTTTATGTCTCAGCATTATACTCTTGCCTGCATTGCCGTGACGCGTATCGAACGTCTGGCAGATTGACCAATCACGGCGAGTTTCTTTTTCCGTCCTTGCTGATGACTGGCCATGACAACCAGCTAAAACTACTAATGAGCTGAAAAGAAGAATTGATCAAATGGAAGAATAAAGTGGCAGTTTTAATGACTGGGTGTACGTGTCTCTGCTAATTGTATTTGAATCATATATTACAGGTAGCAGGGATGGGCAGTATTTCAAATACAAGTATTTGAAATACGTATTTTAAATACTTTGTGTATTTTGCATTTGTATTTAATTACAAATTGGGCAATGTATTTGACGTGTGTATTTAAATACTAAAACGTCGGTATTTCAAATACAATTGTAATTAAATACAATTTTGTGGGCGAAAATACATCCCTAAAATTTATTGCCACTGTCCAGAGCAGGAAAAAAACTACGTTCTGCACTGAATGCAGTGTCTCTCAATCAAGCACAGGCGTTTAGTGACTTTGTGATTACGGTGCTAGACCAGGGCAAGAATAGTGACGAAATTGACGTTCACAGGCAGACTGGCTAAATAAGTGCCTGTGACAACTTTTGATGCTTTCCAGCCTAATTTCCATCCATATTTTTGCCTGGAACATTCTAAATGCGCGGGTCGTCTAGATTTTCGTAACTGGTGCGAGTTACAACTATAAAAAATTCTCTAGCTAGTGCTGCGCGTCTTGGTCGTCTCGGTTCTTTGTTGGTCTATACCAAAATGTAATCGACAAAAAAGCTGCTTGAAGCTCTGTACTTTGTTCACCTATTACGTCCAAGCCGATTACATTTCTTTGTGATTATATTTCTATTACGTTACTACAGCCTCGCACACTAACTCCCGAGTGTGCGATGCAAAATTAAAATGAGATACCCGGAAACCCGTTGCAGGTGCCCTGAAGTCGCTGACGCAAATTTTGAGGGATGTATTTAGAAAAGTATTTGGAGGAGACCAAATACATTTGGTTGTATTTGTATATTGTAATTAAATGCTTTTTTGGAAATGTAATTAGATTTGTAATTAAATACGTTTTTGACGAAGTATTTTGTATTTGTATTTCAATACATATTTGCATGTATTTTGCCCATCCCTGAAGTAACCGCGGATATGGGTTTTCAGCGTGAAGTGGATTAAGGCGGGAGAAATTCAGGTAATCAAGAGATCACCTCCGTATGAAACGTTCCAGGAATACAGGCCCTACTTAAACCTTGAATTTTATTAACGACGTATTTTTCCCAGCAAGGAGAATTCTGCGTTACTCAATGTCTGCTTTAATAACTTCTTTACGTAAATATTTCTTATGAAGTTTGTTTTGCAGCATTTTTATTGTCTTTCGCAATGTGGGGGGGGGGGGGGGGGGGGGGGGGAACTGGTGTAAAATAAAATTTGGAGGTTTTGCAGGCCAAATCAACGAAGGGCACATGACAAGCCCCAGTGAAGGACTTAGAATTAATTATGACCAGGGGGGGATCTATTGACGTACAACCGAAATCTCTGTTACGTGGCGCGTCCTCCGTAATAAGCCTCTGTCCGATTGCGGGCACCTCGGCATGGATTCAAACCCGCCAGCTGTAGGAATCCGTACGCCAGCACTTTGCCTCAGAGCCACCACTGATGCCGCTTGCTTGTGTGCTATTTGATCTTTGAGTGTAGGTGCATATGTCACCAAACTCAAAAGTTCCGGAGGCTGCAAAGTGAGTGTGACGAGGCCATGACCTATTTTTGACAGACGAAAATAAAAGTAGTTGTGTGTCAAGCGCAGCCTAGTATTAAGTAATAGAACGTTTTCAAACATGTAGTTTTATCACCTTTGGTGACTCCCATATGTGGGTGATGTAGCTCGCAAGTGGTGTTCGAAATGTCTCTGGGTGTCGTGATTGTTCTAGGAATGTCACTTAGTCGCACGTGACGACGGCGCAATTCATCAAATTACAGTTTTTACAATAGGAATTCAATATCAAACTCTGACCTTTAGGGTTTACTTTTAAATTAAGATGACTGAAAAC